GTTCTTATTTATTATTTATTATTTTGTTTTCTTTTTCCTTTTATTTATTATTTTTATTGTTGTTATTATATACAACTATTATTATTGTTGTTGTTGCTGTTGCTGTCTGTATTTTTTATAGTTGCTATCTACTGTTCTTTGCGTTTGCAGTGCATTTCAGGTTATTCTTCTCTCGCATTGTTTATTTGTGTGTTAATACAGTGGTTTAGGGTTTAGGGTTTATACGGTGGGTTTAGGGTTTGTGGTTTGTATGCAGGACATTGCGATGGTTCCGTTTGCACTGAAAATAGCTGAGGAGGGTTTTGCGGTGGTTTTGTTTGACTATAGACATTGGGGTGTATCTGAGGGTATGCCTAGACACGCAGCAAACCCCATAGAAGAGATGAAAGACCTGAAAGCGGTGCTGCAGCACCTGCATGCATCCAACGGCTTAGGTGGACGCGTAGACCCGAATCGTATCGCTCTGTATGGCGCCTCTCTAGGTGGGGGGCTTGTGCTGGCTACTGCAAGCAGTCTTGCACAGGAAAACAACAAAATTAAAAACAGCATCAAAGCTGTTGTTGCTGCTATTCCACTCGTCAGTGGCAGAGCTACACGCGCCAAGAGTCTCAAGGTAAACGCGAAACGATAATTAAAAAACCTCTACCCCCTTCTCAACGACATGTAGTTATGCTTTCTAACATTTTTATATAGATTAAAAGATACATACAGCTCCTGTGGTGTATGCAGTGGGGGGTTTGAATGAAGCGAACAGAAAATGTTGCTGTTTCTGCTGCAGCAGAATCCCTGGTTTCATGCTGCATGGTGACAGCTGCTGCTGCTTTTGTTGTGTTTGGTGGTTTGTATGCAGGAACGCGGGCTGTGGGAGAAAGTTCAAATTATGTGGGCAGTATTGAACGACCTGGCGTGGAGTGCTTTCTCCTCCGATGCTGCAGTGTACGTGCAGCTCACGCGCCCCAGCAGTGCTGAGGGCGTCAGCGCCATGAAAATTTCGGACGAAGAATACAAAATTTGGGCTTCTCGCACTCCACTAGAAGGAAAAAAGGTTGATGGAGCCTGGGAAAACAAACTGGCTGCGAGAACGATATTCTGGTTGGGGCAGTTTCAACCCGACGGTAGGTGGTGCACGCGTGCATTCCATTTCAGGTGTATAGGCAGCTGCCGGTTACAGAGCGAAAAAGGGGATTTGGAGGATATTTATTGGTTATTTTTTCGATTCTTTTGGATGAAATACTTTCTTTTTGTTTTTTCCTTTGATTTGTTGTGGTGATCGCAGAAATGGTCGTCAATTACCTCGAGGTTCCCACCCTCATCCTGGCAGGTTCAGAAGATACCCTCTGCCCGATTGAGCCGATTCGAAAGATGGTTGAAATGCATGCAGCGAAACATGAAAAAAACAAAATAACATTGAAAGAATTCCCTTGGCGCCATTTCGATTTCATTTCAAAAGAAAACTTTCCACTCCTTGTGGAGAACACCGCTGGCTTCATCAGGCAGTTCTTCTGAAGCTGAAAACAAAAAAAATGTTTTCCTCTTCGTTTTCACCTGTGTACTATTCCCGTGCCACTGAAAAACACAGGGAATCGCGCAAACGCAGTGTTAATGAGCGACATTCCACCATACAAACCCG